TAGTTTAATTAATACATTTACATCTATATTTAAAAAAAAACTAAATAAAACCAGACAAGCTGTAATACAATTTGAGGGTTTTTTAAGTACAACAATCCATTCACTGATCTTGTATTAAATATGTATAATAACATTTATTCAGGTGCCAGTGAAAGACTATAACAATAATTATTAATTTCTTGCGAATTATCACACTATAGTTTTAGTTATTATCATTCAAATTTAAAAACTCATTGATTGTAGGTATTAGTATTAAAAATTATAAAAAAAATTGTATTGATATGCTATTGAAGGTCGTTGTTAATGATATGAATCGCAAAAATGTTACTAGTATCCGTTCTAGTTACCTTTATAAGCACTCATTACATATTATGAAAATGTAAATTATATAAAATAGCGCGACATTTAAAACTAAAATGTTACGTAAAATAAAGGCTGAATTATTCACGTACTATCTCTAATTGCATGTATTTTAATGTTTTGATAAATAAGTATACATCTTGCGTTTTATGATAAACTCAAAACGTATTAACTTATACGACGCTGCATTCATTAAAGCAAAAAAATATAAACAAACTTACCGATAAAAAGTACAGCGAAATCCATGAGAACTTTTCGCAATAAAAACTTAGAATCACGATCCAAGGTGATTGAATGTGTACGCGAATTAGTTTTACGTTCATTTCTCTCCATTTTTATTTATAAATTATTTAAATAACGCGTAATAATTATAATTTTGTTACACTTTTACTTTAAGATGCACCACAACCGCACGAAACGTCAATGAAACTGATTTTCAAAGCGCGGAAATCGAAACGTCAACTTAAACACGTCAAATTACACGCGCATGCGTGTATCGACTGCCCAGTGCCCCACGATAGCGTCCAATAACGAGTAGCGAGAAGATACACGGTAAAAGCAAAGTGACGAGCGTCAAAATAAAAAACGAGCAGCATAACTAATAGCCGCAGTGTTCGCTATTACGCTACCAGCCCTTTGAGAACTACTTAATTACAGAAACATTACTTAATTAAATATACACCATATAGATTATTAACTATTGCGCGTAAATGTTCATAAATTAAATAGGTATGTGGAAGTAATTAGTTTATGAATAATAATGAAATAATTATGATATTTGTACAAGTGTCGAACAAAAGTATATTATGAAAATACATACAGGTTCACATTTTTTAAAATTCTATCTTATAGCCAATTTTTAAGCATTTTTTATGTGTAGGAAGAGCTTTCATAGTAACCTAAGATATTTATAATTGTAATTGAATTCAATATTATTTTATTAATAATTCCTATCTTTTAAATCCGTAGGTTTATACTGCCATCTGGGTTTAGTTTTAAAAATAATAAAGCTCTCACTTGTTGTTTAGCAGTAAAATGTTGGTTAGCTTTAGTACATTCAAAAATTTTCACTAGAGGGCGCTATAACAGATAAGGGTTAAAAACCTGTACTAAGCTACTAATATAGGAGATGTTAGTGTGTCAACGCCTCGATAGAATTAATACAATTTAATTAATGTAGCCGTCACTTAGATAAAATATTAAATTGTTTAAGGTTTCGATACACTTTTTGATATTATTTTAATTTAAATGGAATTTATTGCTTTCGTACATATTATTTAATGTCTATTTAATAGAAAAATAGAAAAGTAGATTGCTATTAATTTCCAATAAAGAAAATTATCAATGTCTCTCTATATATATAGCATCTATCTGGATTCTACCAAGTACCTACTTCATTGAGGTTTATCTACTCTGTAACTTCCAATATAGGCACGTTTTTGTACAGCTCGATCTCAAGGTCGCGACATTAACGCTGATATTGAGAGTAGGTACTACATCGAAATGGCATACAAAGAAAGTCGGGGTCGCTATTGCTATCTTTCTAATTAATTATGCAGTAAAACGAAACAGATTGCTTTTATATGATAATACGATACATTAGTAATTAATAAAGGATTGTGTCATGTAAACAACAGATTATATATACTTATTAAGCCATAAAAAAATTATTAAAATATTTTTCTATCCTCTATCGTGGATGAGTGTGTCGCCTTTCGTATTAACAAGTTACCTATACAAGGTCATACAGGGAGATGAACACAAACATGTTTTGCATATTTCCAAGCATAATCTAATAGCTAACAAGACGGTGGGCTTCATAATCCGTCAAAGATGCTTGGATCTCGCAGCAAACATTTCTGTACGGTAGATAAGCTAGCTTGTTCAGATTAGCCCGTCCTTTGTAAGCTTAAGAACTTGAAGTTTGGGCTCTAGTTTTGTTGGGAAAAAGAGTTATAATGTTTTTGAGATTGTGTTTTATTTTGATGTTTTGGTATTTATTTGTTACTCGATTTTTACAGCTTCAATTCTAAAATCATTCCAAACTAATTAAGATACTTGCCTGTACCAAAGATTTAACACAGCTCTAAGCGCCACGCTGTATGAAAAAGAAAATACGCCATAACACTAAAAGTATTTAATCATCATCCCGGAGGCTTTTTTGGAGGCAAACGTGATACCACCGCCCATGGACATTCACATTACCAGAAGGCTCGCAAGTGCGTTGCCGGCCTTTTAATTGGCCCGCTCTTTTTTTGAAGGACCTTAGGTTCGACTTAGGTCGAACTGGTTCGAATAATTCAGTGGGAAGCTGGCATCACATAGTAGTAGCAAAAACTGCCTGGCGAAACGGTCAGTTGTGGAACGACGGACGTCGAGGTGATACTGATGGTACAGATACACTACCTTGTAACGTTTTATAGGAAGAGTGATTGGATTTTTAAAGGCACAGTGCTGTTTTAATCCCAGGGAGTTCTTAGTTTTGAAATATACACAGATATTATATCATTATATTGTTTATGAAATGTAATATTTACATGCTGATTTTATGGCTGTATGTGCAGTTCATTATTTCTACATAATGTACAACTTTCGTGGTACATATAGGATTTATTTATTTATTATATAGTGAAAAACGATAAACTCCTGCGAAAGATTTGATGGACAAGACTCTCATGAGACTGATGGCTTCAGTCCTAATAAAGAGGCACAAGAAGAAGGCAGGTAGTCTAGGACGCTGTAGCTTGAATCTATATCGAATCATATATATCAAAGTATCTTCGTTTGTTTTTTCCTATTATATATTTAAATTTTACAATTCCTTGCGGGTTTCATGAAAAAAGATTTAATAAATTAGATTTTATAGCAGGAAACCATAGACACATAACAATAATACTAGATTACATTTTTATTGATGTAACATAATCCAAAAAAGGCTTTTACTATAATATTGATTTCAAAGAAACAGACTAAAAACCATACTATATGTAGATAGTATGTTCTTTTAAATGGTTGTATGAACTTTTTTACACTTTAAGATCATGATCATCCTTAAATTATGTCTTTGAAATGGCGGAAATAGGTCTTGTTTTATAGGAATGAAGAAGAATATTCCTAATATTAACTCTTTGCTAGAAAACAAAATTTTGCAGGGATCAATCGATCCTAAATCTAAGTAAAACTATTATTTATTTAGGTACGAGTATATTGACTTATTAAAAATTATATACAATAAAATACATAATATGACACCCTAACAAAAATATTTAAGATTTCTTCTATTCTATTGATAGTTATTAGATAATTAAGGGACGATTAAAAGAAAGGCCTAGCTAGGTAATTAGCTAAATTGTACCACCATTGTAGGTACTTATCTACAAATCAACTCAGCTAACAGCGTACAAAGTAACCAAAAATAAGACAAAAACCGCGAGCCGCGAAAGATCGTAAAATTCAATGGCAAACAAACGCAAAATTCCTTCATTACAGTACAATGCCTATAGACGCATACAAATAACAGGCAACGTCCAATTTAAATAACAACCTCGCAAAGCTGAAAAACAACCCGTAACCGAAGTTGAGAATAAATTAGCAACCACCCTGCACCCCCTCGTACCCAATGTGTACATTGTGCAAAATATTATTTGCCTTGCCAGACAATAATAGGATCTAATGCCCCGCCCTGACATTTTAGCTTTGCCGCGCCCCGCCCAAAGAGACACACTTCTCTATTGGCTGCGGGCGGATTCCGTCTCTATCCTCGCTATGCCGCGTCCCTCTCGCACGTATAGCTTTTCCTTCAACGCCCGAGGGGTAAATGTTTTGGTAGGAAACACATACGAGGGTTTCTAGAGCTGCGTATTGTTGAAACGATTCGCTCAGAGAATATTTTTTAAGCTCGTTTTATTTGAAGATACCTGAATGGTGTGTAAGAATTTCTCTTTATGAGATTTTTTCAATAGACAGTCCTTTAGCTCTGGATTAAAGGATCTCTATATCTTTGTAAACGTTTCCTTTACACGGTTTTATGATTCCATTCAGAGTTTTCTACGTTTATTCTATGAGGATTTTATTTTTTACATTTAATAATAGCGCAATTGAGCAGAGTCGTGTAGAGTAGAGAACGCGCTTTAGATACTGAAATATAAATTTCATACTTACATATTAATTGAATAATTTAGAATTGCATACATTTTAAGATTTATATTTTCTGAATATGTTTGTACTAACGTTGGTTGTTATATGCACCAATACCATTATTTCATATAAATGTATAAAATTTTACGATTCAAGTATTGTCCTTTAAACGTTAAAATAATACAGTTTCTTTATTTAACCCTAAAAAAGCGCACCAACTGTAACAAGTTGGCATTAAGCCCCCACAAACAGAAAATAAATACCACAACAAAGTTGAATCGATACGAGGTCTAATAATTATTAGTCAACGGCCTGAAATTCATGCACAAAGCTCCGACCCGCAGTAATAATAACGACAATTGTTGTGTTTACTGAAACGTAAACGCGTGGAGTGGGTCCCCCCGGGGGGCGGAGTTTCGGCCCGGCCTCCGATGACGACCTCGCGCCAGTGCAGTCCCAGACGCGCCGCGCGCTGCAACGCACCTCTGACATGTGACGACAGCATGGAAGAGTGTGATCTCAACCGCTACCGCGATATGATAATCGAAGGAGATTTGCCTCTCGACTTGCGTCCACCGCCTAGACTCTACCTACCTCACTATCTCCGCGACGACAGAGAGGAATACCAGCAGGATGACACCTACGTGTCCGTCGACGAAGACACGCCAGAACACCCGCCACCGTCCAGCGACTCCGAGAGATACGACGCGTCCAGCCCCATCGATAACAAACCCAGCTCACCAAAGAAACCAAAACAGAAGTCCTCGTCTCAGTTAATCAAACCCCCGTACTCCTACATAGCACTGATCACGATGGCGATACTCCAATCACCGCATAAGAAATTAACATTAAGTGGTATATGTGAATTCATCATGACGCGTTTTCCATATTACCGGGAAAAATTTCCCGCGTGGCAGAACTCGATTCGGCATAACTTAAGTCTCAACGATTGTTTCATAAAGATCCCGCGGGAGCCGGGGAATCCAGGGAAAGGGAACTACTGGACGTTGGATCCGATGGCTGAGGATATGTTCGACAATGGGAGCTTTTTGCGGCGTAGAAAGAGGTACAAGAGGCCGGCGCCATCGCTTCAACACGCTCACGCTGTCGTAGCGATGTTAGCGAGGGAGGCGTATGCTCCGCTTTTGCCCTTGCCATGTTATTTGCCGCCAACGCCGTTACTGTCGCTGCCGCGGCCGCCGCCGGCAACTTTACGCCCCGTCCCGCTGCCGCCGAGAGTTCCAGAAATGACTGACACTCGATGTAAGAGATCAAGAAATGGTTTCTCGATAGAGTCAATAATAGGGTCTCAGGAAAGCGAGGTTGTTGAACCGCGACGTAGTGCATTTTCGCCGCTCCATTTAGGATCTAGCCCGCCGGACGACTGGGCTAGATGAATGTATGAAAACGGGTGCGTTGCTAATTACTTTTAAACGTCCCGATAGTATAAGACTTGGACTAAATAATATTGTGTGTTAAAGGTCATTATAAAATTATAAAGTTGTCCAGCCGACATATTGCCAATTGACCAAAGCAGTTACCAGTATTTTAATCTATTTACGTATTTTTGCATCGGTTTTAAGTGTAAGTACGAATAATGGTAATAAAATCGAATATTTGTAGAATAATGTAAGTTTAAAGTTCGTCCGATTAAATAGCGCAGTAACTTAAAACAATAATAATTCTATTCTATTATTTATTTCGTTTATGTTATATTTTTAATTTATTTCGATTGCGTCATTATAGTCGTTTCAAAACAATGTATTTACGTATTTTATTACACATCTAATTTAGCATTTGTTATATTTTTTACGTTATATGATGCGATTCAATGTCTAGTCACTATGTACAAAGTAGATGTAAAAATATTGTAAATAATTGTAAAATTTATTAGAGTAGTGAATAGAGTTACCTGCTTCATATTTTGCCAAATACTTCGTGTATTATCTGTAGTAACTTATGTATCCTAGTGTTAAGCTGTAAAAAATATAAACTATAAATACTATCTTCAATATTTTATTGTTTTTATTTTTGATCACACACAAATTCGATTTAAACAGTGTAGGGGAAAATTTTATGCTATTTTTATATATTATTGTTAATTAATTATTTGTAAGCCTATTAAGAGGATGGTTTTTAAAGGCTTTTGTTCCAAAGTCTATCTGGTTTAGGCTATTATATTTTTAATTTAATTATAATTTTGTGGTATTTTTAAAAGTAGTGATGATTTAAATAAGCACATAAACTTGCCAGTTCAACTTATTAAAATAAATAAAACTTTGTAGTTTAGTTTTATCTTTAAAAAAATACTTAGGACTTACAGTAAAAAAATTCAATTGGAATACAGACATTTTTGATTTTAAAAATAGGCAATAACTTAACTTGCTGCTAAGCGCGCGGATTCAAATCAAATCAAAACTTATTCATTTTGTTGTAATTAGGTACACTTATGACTGACATTATTTAAAAAAAGAACCAACATTTACTACTCGTTCCCAAATCAAGGTCGACAAGCAAGCACTCTTTTTAATCTCAAAGTTTTTGGTTAACAAGGAAACTAAGTAACTGCAAATATTACGCCATGCACTGAACATATTGAAACACTTTTTTAATTTAGTTGTCTAAAATATCTATCAGTTTGCGAGCCCACAGCTACTTTTACCACAGTTATAAGACTATTTAATTTTGTATTCCTACAGTTTTGTGTGTATATCTTAATATATATAAATAACGTGCCACGTTGTTTGTCCGCTATGGACTCCTAAACTACCGAACCGATATCAAACAAATTTGCACACCGTGTGTAGTTTGATCCAACTTAAAAGATAGGAGCTTACATCTCAATTTATACCCGCAATATTATTTTATTTCAAAATATTTGTTTATTATTTGATAGTCACAATTCTAACAGATGGCGCTGTGTTGGAAGTACCAACATTTCAAATAAGCATTACCACCAAAAAAGCATGGTGGTCCCCATGACTGGTGTTCTCCTACCGTTTCCCTTGCATAGGTAATATAACTAAAACCTTAGCTACAGCAACGCTTGGCCGGTCTGCTAGTATAGTATATAGTAATGTTGTTTCAGCCTTGAAAGTTGAATTGACGGTCTATAGTAGCCTACTATACTGAACTGTATACAGTCAAATAACGAGTAAATAGCAATCGAATTTTAATATTCAATTATGGTTAAAGAAGTTCTTTTATGTCTTATTTTAACAGATTTATTATTGTGCAACTCCTAAAACGAATAAATATTGTGAAATATAAAAATGAGTACGAAAATCCTATACATATATTTGTTATATCTAATGCCAGTGTAAATAATTTTATGAATGCATCATGAAGTTAAGTTAAACATAACTTATCATAATCGTTAGAAACAGATAAGCAAACAGGCAAATGGTACGTCACTCAATGTAATATGACAAGATTCGAGGCTTTGATAAATCAAAATAAACTGTAATTTCTCCACAGATTACATAGCAAACATTTATTTTGCGTTTGCGCCGAGTCAGGGCTATAATTTGTTATTCTTAATGAGATAGATAGTGAAATAATTATTTCAGGTAGTGTTGAAAAATTTAAAATTTTGTCAATGCTTACTTAACAAAATAAATATTATTCGGAGGTTACAGCGCATCAATAGAATAGAATAGATTAGATAGAATTTTAAATACATACGTCAAAAACGACGTTCCATATGTTGTGCCGGCGAGACTTAGACCAAGAACAAAACTGAAGCCGCTTTTCGCTTCTATACATATTTTTTTTATATACGTCGATATTTAATTTTTATTAATAAAGGAAAATTTTCAGACAAAAAAAAACTAATCGGTTCCGAAAATGCGTAAAAAAATGGTTCCATTTTTAAATTTGTAAGCCGTTACATTTCGCAATTGTTTTGCAAATATTTGTCTACTCCAAACCTTTGTGTGAAATCCAAATGTGTGATTGATTCAATTATATTATATGCCTCGGCATAACCCTAGTTTCAGCAACATTGTACGATGTGCAATAACAAAATTAGCTAACTCAAACAAATCATCGCCTCTGCAAATTGTCGAGATAAATGTTTATTCTTTGTTTTATTTGACATTAAATAGACTGAAACATTGTTTTAAGGTAATATACAGGTGATACAATGCATACTATGAAAGTGCGAGTACTTACCCGAAATGCCACTTTAGGTATTCCAACAGCAGTAGTATTTTATAATTAGTTTTCCTTTAATGCTTTTTTATAGAACAGGGGGGGTATTAAGTGATAACATGGAGAACACTCTCAATGCCAAAGGGCGCGGCCGGCCTTTAAGAATTCCTGGTTCCACACTGCCTTAAAAAACCATCAGTTGTGGAGCGACGGATGTCGAGGTGATGTGATAACAAAGGAACGTGTTTCGTTTGACAGGGATTGGTCAAACGGAAAGAGCCGTTTCGGCTTTCTATCATTGGACCAGAGATAAAACTAACCAGACTCAAATGTATCGCGTTTCGTCTTTTGTTTTACGTTCTCACGCGAAATGTCTTGGGTTGTTCGTAAATTTAATCAACATCGATTTTAATGATACTGAAATCTACAACGTGTTCATTAGATCAATTGTAATCGCAATTAAAGTTGAATAGCAAAGTCTTATAAGTCGATTGTTTCGTCCACAGGAATTATATTAAGAATAACATTGCTAAAAGAAAAAGATGTATGCGCAGGTATAGTTTCACTCTCGTGTATAGATAACTTTCTTCGATGGGCAACTTGTCTTAGGTGGCGCAGGACAAATCATAACGATCATGCAAGTTCGAGCAGGGTTGGCCTAGTAGCTTGAGCGTGCGACTCTCATCCCTGAGGTCGTAGAATGGATCCTCGGCTGTGCACCAACGGACTTTTTTTCTGTGTGCGCATTTTACATTCGCTCGACCGGGAAGGAAAACTTCGTGAGGAAATCGGCTTGCCTTAAACCTAAAAATCGACGGCGTGTGTCAGGCACAGCAGGCTGATCTACTAGCTAATTAGATTGACAAATGATCATGTAACAGATTCAAAAATCTGAGGCCTTGACCTAAGGCCACTGATTTTATAATTTTTTTATATGCACGGGTAAAATAACACTCTATATAATGAAAACAAGATATTTATTAAAATGTCAACACAATATGCTCCATACGGTATCTAATGAAATGTGTTTTTATTTTATGAAAATATCGCTGATATTTTGCTTAAACTGTATATCTTTTGATATTATAACAATACGCATTGTTATTTTTTTAATAATAGTAAATCTCTTAAGTTAATGTGTAAACGTTTCCAAAAAAGATTTCAGCATTTTTAACTTATTAGATATTTTATTTTTATAGAAAATAAAGTCGAAATGGCTAAAACATTCGAAATAAAAAAAAACACTTATTCCTCAGGGACAGAATGCAATCATAAATACACAACATACACACGTACCCTCACTTTTACACCATCACACAACACAGCCGAATTAGGTAGTACTTAGTTAAATGTATTTAATATTTTTTTCTTTCGCAAAATGTTTGAACCTGTTTGTAAATATTATGTTTTCCATTTTTGGCAGCAAGATGGCCATTCCATCTTTGGCATTTCAATAGAGCAGTGTTGGTCTAGTTGGTTTCAGCGTGAGACTCTCATCCCTGATGTCGTAGGTTCGATTCCCGGCTGTGCACCAATGGACTTTCTTTTTATGTGCACATTTTAAGATTCGGTCGAATCGTGAAGGAAAACATCGTGACGAAACCGGGTTGCCTTGGACCCACAAAGACCCACTAAGGCTGATCACCTATTTGCCTATTAGATTCACATATGATCGTGAAACAGATACATAAATCTGAGGCCCAGACCTAAAAGGTTGTAGCGCCACTGATTTATTTATTTTATTCCATCTTCGGCTATATATTTATTATAATTATTGTAATATATAATTTATTTTAGCTATTATATAAATAACAAGAATACAAAGTTTAGCTTTCCTTGAAAAGAGTTGTGCTAAGCTATGACTCCATCACCACCATTTGGTGACAGCGGTGCTAGACACAAAGTACCTATATTAAATACAAAGATATTTAAACAAAAAGTTACTGGCCCTAAGAGCCATGGGATAAATCACAGGAAATTCAGAGCAATGAAAACCAGGGCTCTTCCTCTGTAACTTTCAATAGCGATATTACCACCAATTCCTCCATAATGAGTTAATGTTCCGCGCGCTTCCAAGGTTGCGACATCAGCGCTACGGATATTGAAAGAACTATATCGAACTTGCATACAAAAACGTCGAGATCAGAACATTGTTGGAAGTTACAGAGTACAGAGTACGGGTAATAATCTATACTCATGTTATTAATTTCAGTGTAAGAAACAGCTTGTATGAAATAATTGTATA